ACCCAGTTACCCTAACCCTCCTGCCCCGCTCCCCTGCAGCAACCCTCAGTTTGTTTCCTATGATTAAGAGTCTCTTATGGTTTGTCTCTCTCTCTCTGATTTTGTCTTGTTTTATTTTTCCCTCCCTTCCCCTATGATCCTGGTTTATTTCTTAAATTCCATATATGAGTGAGATCATATGATAGATAATGGTCTTTCTCTGACTAATTTCGCTTAGCATAATACCCTCTAGTTCCATCCACATCATTGCAAATGACAAGATTTCATTGTTTTTGATGGCTGAATAGTATTCCATTATATTTATATAGATCACATACTGGGTCACAAATTAGGTCTCAACTCACACCAGAAGATTGGGATACTTCCCTGCATGTTTTTGGACCACAGTGCTTTGAAACTTGAACTCAGTCACGAGAGGAACTTGGAAAGAACTTAAATACATGGAGGCTAAAAAGCATCCTACTAAAGAATGAATGGGACAACCAGGAAATTAAAGAAGAATTAAAACAAAATTCATGACAACACATGAAAATGAAAACACAACTGTTCAAAAACCTTTGGGATGCAGCAAAGGCGGTCCTAGCTTTCGTATTTTTAAATGTTAAGCTTTTAAATTTAAGCTTTTAAGAAAGTTTAATATTTGATGATAATTGCTTCAGATGTAGTTTTCAAATTTTATGACAAAATATGGATATCATTGATATTCTTGGTTACTGCTCCTTCTTCTCCAGTGTCTGTGTGTTTTTCTAGCTTTAAAAAAAGTGTAAATCTTCCACCTATTAATATAGTCTAAAAACCTGAACTATTTACAGGCATAGACACAACCTAAGCTACCTTTTTAGTTATGCGACAAGTAAATCCAGAAGAGGACTAGTGGTTATGTCATTTCATCTTTCTACAGATTAACTTTTCTCCTGGGATAACGATGTTTGTCCTATCCACCCAACTTGGGTGGGATGAAAACAAGTGCAATAGTGAGAAGGAATGTTCTTTGGAAAAAGATAATATGCAAGGTTCTAGCACTTTTATTAATGAATTCCTTATGTGTCTTACTCCCTTCACAAAGTACTAGTTTATTTTATTTGTCCTCAGACAATGTTAAGGGAGTGGCCTCCATTCCTACTGAGTAAGAGCTTTCTTTTCAAGCTTAAATTAATAAACTCTGATTATGGCCCTTCTCAGTCTTTGTCTTTCCAAACAAAGAAGTAGAATAGTTTTATTCTTTCCCCCAAAAGAAAAGCATCCTATTACAATTTTTGTCATTGTTCTTCTAAGCCTTTTCTAAGTCTGTTATATCTTTCTGGAGGTACAGTAGCCAAAATTGCCTGCAGTATTACAGGTGCAAATAGTTTTGCTATCCTAGTCTATTTATGCATTTGGCAAGCATAATTACATGGAAGTAAAAAAAACAAAAAACAAACAAGACGAAATCCAACCATATCAAACCACAATGAGATACCACCTCATATCCACTAGGATGGGTATTATAGAAACAAAAACAAAATGCCAGAAAAGAACACATGTTGGCAAGGATGTGGAGAAATTGGAACCCTTGTGCACTGTTGGTAAGAATGTAAAATGGTGCAGTTGTTATGGAAAATAAAATGATGGTTCCTCAAAAAAATTAAAAATAGAATTATCAAATGATCCAGCAAATCCATTTCTTGGTATTTAACCCAAAGCATTGAAAGCAGGGTCTTAAGGAGGTATTTAAACACTTATGGTCATAACAGCATTATTCACAATAGTCAAAAAGTGGAAGCAACCCAAACTTCTGTTAATAGATGAATAGATAAACAAAATGTGGTGTGTGTGTATATATATATATATATATATATATATATATATATATATATATACAATGAATATTATTCAGCCTTCAAAAGGAAGAAAATTTAGATACAGGCTATAACATGGACGAGCCTTGAGGAAGGGTATTAGTCTAAGTGAAATGAGTCAGTCACACACACACAAAAAAACCACTTTGTCTTTATCTTAAGTGGCATAATTTCACTTATGTGACGTACCTACAACAGTCAAATTCACAGAGGCAGTAGAATGGTGGTTACCAGGGTATGGGAGTTATTGTTTAATGGGTATAGAATTTTAACTTTGTAAGCTGAAGAGTTTTGGACAATAATTGCATAACAATGTGAATGTACTGAACACTACCGACCTGCACACTTAAAAATGGCTAGGATGGTAAAAATAAGTGGACAAAAAACAACTAAAGTCTAGAGCAGTTAGGTTCAAGAAGGATTATTGAGACTCTTAGAGGAGACAAGGTAAAAGTCTTCACCAGACAGTGTCCACTACAGACAGCATAATTGTTAGGGCAGAGAAAGGAGCTATTTTCTAAAGTCTTTTACCTCACGGGTTCACTGTGGTTCATCACTGTGTTTTGCCGATGAAATAATAAGACCCATCTTATGCTTCTGTTATCTCTCTCTTAGAACCTAGAACATTGCTATGCATGTGCAGTGTGCTTTTAGGAAAGGCTCAATAAATATTTGGTGAAGGACTGATGGAAAGCATCGTGGTTAAATGTCAGCAGTGGAGACCTAGTCCTAACTGGTTCCTATGGTGAACCTAGGACTAGTAAGTTCATCACAGCCTACATGACTTCTCTAAGTCTCATTTTACTTATGCAGTAATTGAAGAGAGTAAGAGCAACTACTTCATAGAGTTATCATGAAGATTAAATGAGCCAATACTTAGCATGTATCTGGCTAGAAAATCAAGGAAGGAGGTAGAGACAACTACATAGGAAGTACATACATATCCGTCTATGTCTATGTTGTATCCATTATAGTTGTATCTAGTGTACCCGCATGCTTCCAACAGAAGCCAGTACTTAGTGACTGCTCAGTAAATATTTACTGGATGAATTAACTAACTATAGGGTGAAACTAAAGGGTGAAGTTTTGAATTCTGTTAAAAATAAATTTGTCAAATAAGTCCTTAATTTATTTTAAGGGCAAGAACTCTATATTGAAGAGGTAGATTATGACAGATACTTGTATTCACTTCTGATATTTTTGTTAGCTTTGTCAGGCCCCTGTAGGACCACTTGAAATTTTTTTAGCACCTACTATATTCCCAACATGGTCCCAGTATCAGGAACGCAACATGAACAAAACACTACCTCACTCTCAGGCCAGTGGAAGAGACAAATATGGAAGCACATGATGGATTAAGGGCCATGCTGGAGGCATGTCCAAGGTGGTACAAAGGAAAGTTCCATCCACCTTGCTGGGAAGAGAGAATGGTTTTGGTGAAGAAAGACCCCAAGGGCAAGGCAACTGAACTGGGTCATGAAGAATAGGTAGGGCTGGGGAGAGGGGGAAAGACAGTGGAGACAAGATGTACAAAGGCATGAAATATAGGTGAAGGAGATGAAACTACCAGACACCTTACCTTCAAGGATATGTAAGTAATTTCCACGAAGCACTGAGCAAAAGTGGGAAAAAAGGGAATAATCGCATAGATATAGGCAGGGGCCAGATGGCCCAGAGCTCATTTGTCTACAGAAGAGAGTTTCTTAATCCTCTTGCCAAAGAGAAACCATGGGGAGTTTTAAGCAGAAGAGACCTGATCAGATACTTGCATGATAACTCTAGTCATGGAGTGAAGAATAGATAAATCAAGTCTATGGGAGACAGGTGGTCAGGTGACTATCAGGGAAAAACCCGGAGGTGAGAGAATGGTCTGGAGATCATGGTAGTAGTGAAAGGGGTGGATATAAGAGATGTTAAAGCAGGTGAATCCAAACATGTTCACTTCATTTTTACTTGCTCTCTATTTAAATGAAAAGTTAAACCGTAAACTACATACATACTAAGTCGTATGCCTCCGAGACTTCATTTGGGCATGTTGCCTGAAAATCAATACTCTTATTTAAAAAGTGAAGTGAGAGACAGCAGACTCTGCAGGTCAACTTCAACAATCATTACCTGCTGCTGGTTTTTAGTGTGTGTGCTTCCAGCTAAACTGGGGGTTAACTCTGTTGGGATTCCATGATTTAGTTTCAAACTGGAAATTCAAGTCTCGTTCCATGAAGACCAATTTCCAGCATGGAGGGTTTTATCCTTAAGAACTAGACCCAGGGGAGCTCTGTAAGGAAGCCCAGCGTGCTCTGCTAGCACTAAGTGTAAAAGATACCAGCTTGAGTGTGATGGGTAAGCCCAGCTCAGCGATTCCCGAGAGTGAGGAATTTGGTTCTAGGAATGAAAATGAGTGCTGGTGACGATTTCTAAGGACAAGCTTTTTATCTGTCCTAAGGTACCATGGAAGGTCATACCTAGACTTACAGACAAGACCACAGAGCTGGGCTATTAAAGAAAGTGAGAAGATAAGCAACTGAATGAGATAAAAGCTCAGCTGGACCCACCAGAATTTGGCAGGCTTTCCAAGTGTTCTGAAATTGGCCCATTTTTTCTAATTCTTCAGAAAAGCATCATCTCTAAGGTGGTAGTAATGAATTACCACCAGAAGGTACATAGGATGCTGCAACTTTCAATTATCTAACAATTACCACAAGCTGTGACTATATCATTCCCTTTAATAATAATAACTGTTAAGAGAGAATAATAATATCTATGTTCATATACATGGCATAGAATTATAGCCATAACCTCATACTCTTGGAAGCAATTTTGCCCAAATATTTAAAAAAAGTTCTTGAGCAAGAGCTTCCCAGGTGCACAGTTGAATCCTTGACTTCTGTAGTATTTTCTCTTGCTCTTTTTCTTCCATCCTCCTATGACTCTAGGCCCCTCCCCAGGATGTTTCAAACACCCAAGACCAGAAAAGTAATGATGAAACAAAACCCGAATGCCTGATAATCAATACAAGTTCATTTTATGAACTCAGGTTGCTGATTGAGAGCCTCTCGCTAAGAGCCAAACCCCCAAACGTTCCCTCCGTGTTACTGATCAGGTGAAAGGTCAGCGAATCATTCGAGCAAAAGAGACTAACAAGTGAAAAATCCAGCGTCTCACCCAGCTCCACGTCCTGATCATCGGTGAGCACAAGAATAATGTTGGGTCGGATGTTTTTTCGTTCCTGCTGTATCCGTCCTCTGAACCTCTGGGATCTGACAGTGGAACAGTGGCCCCCCAGCAGTTCTGTGGCCAGGACAGCCAAAACCAGAGCACAGCAAGAATACTTCATTGTGTTGGGTCCAAGGTCACAAAACCAACAAGACGTCTCAGCCTCCTGGTTTCTGCAGGTCTGGGCGGTCAGAGAGAAAAGGAGAGGGGGAGAGGAAAATGAAATCCAAACCCCAAACACAGTTGCAGAGAAAGGGCTACAACTAAGGGAGAGCTGGCACAGGAGCTATTGGAGAGAGGGCTGCACATGAGTCACAAGTGGCAAACCCTCACGGGCGCTGGGGAGGATTTTAAGCACTTGATTATTTTGCAAATTCACTTATGTCCTTTATTCTCATTCCAACTTTTCCCATGTCAAAATTCATTGCCAAAATATAATTTCCAACACAGAGCTCAAATGTAAAAAGCCTCCCGACAGGAGCTAATACCTTGAATTAGGTATCCTGGTTGAATGATCAATTCCTGTACCCAGAGGTGTTCAGAACATCTGCAGATGGGGTCCTGGAGGGGGAGAAGAAATACAGAGGAAACGTCAGTCAAGGATCTTTTTTTTTTTTTTTTTTTTTTTTTTTTTCAGTCAAGGATCTTGATACAGATTTTGGTCTGAGGTCATCTCTTAAAATGGCATATGATATGTGCGTGTGTATTCAGATCTACACACACACACACACACACACACACACACACACACACACACACACACTGTACTCCAAAAGGGAGAAACAGAAGAAAACAATATTCAGAACTGCTAAAAATGACTCCAAAAATATCTTCATTTCTCAATGAGCTCCCTAAAGTGGGGACACGGGTGCCATCCCTGCTCACACTCTGACAGTACTTTAAGCATCCCCCAGAAAACTCGAGATTGACCAGGGGGAGCCAGCGGCACCTGTGAGACCACAGTGGGTTTGCAGGGTACTTACAACCAGGGAGCGGCTGGCATGAGGGGGTGTGCTGGGGGGGGGGCGCTGACTCACCTGCACAGACACTGAGTACTTATCAAGCAGAAGAAAATGCAAGGCTGTCATTTGTCATCTGCATTATGTCACTCACTACCCAGGAGAGTTCTTTCTGCTGACAAAGACTTCATAGTAAATGACTGGGAGGGCAACCTCTCCCAGCCCCCGAAGAGCTCCTAACTGTCCTTCATCAATCACCAGGGGAAGAGGCGCTTCCTCCGGGCGAGGCTTGTCCCTCCGACCGGCCCGTGTCCTCAGTGCGCCAGCGCCTAAGGGGACAGAGCCCTCCTTCAACTGTCAGCCCAGCCTCACTATTATCAGGACCTGGCGCAGCGCCGCCAGCACCGAGGTTTTGCCGCAGCACAACTAAACCTGCAAAGCAAAATGATTGATTGGCTCTGAAGCTGGGGGTTACAGGCTACCCTTCCACATTTAAATAAATAAATAAATAAATAAATAAATAAATAAATAAATAAATAGATCTGGAGGGGAGGGCTGCAAAATCTTTGCAAATCTCCCAAGAGGAGACCTTTGAAAGGGTTAGAAGAATGGCCCTTTCACTTTAGAGCACCAACCTGCTGAAAGCGTTTCTCTTGGACTTGTGATAGCAAGCAAGAGGCTCATTAAAAAAAAAAAAAAAAAAAAAAAAAAAAATCTTTCTTTTGGATGTCATGAGGGAACGTCTGCATGGGAATTTAGGCCGCCCTAAAGTTAATTAGATAGCAGCCCGCTTTGTCAGCCACTCTGTCCCCACACACCTGAGGGTCTGTATTTTGAATTGCAACAATAAACTGGCATCAGATAAATAAGCATAACGAATTAAGTGTGAGAATTGTATGGCAGAAGAAAAGGGACTCCATCACTCATTTCCATGCCTTAAATTCTGGAGGGTGACATGGGGGCAGTGGGAGAAGAAAGAAGAAAGACTGTGGACTGTTTACCCCAGCCACACACATTATTTTGTTTTACACAAACACACACACCCCTATTATTTTAAACTTTATGAGCTGTTTTGTAAACAGTTCTAATGCTTTTCACTCTGCAGCCTGTAATTACTTTGAGAGAAAGACAGGGAGAGAGAGGGAGAGAGAGAGGAAGGGAGACACACTCTATAAGAAATAGATTTTAAACCAAAATCTAGTGCTATAGGAAGGCAGCCTGACTGCATTATCTGCAGAGCATCAAACCAACCACCTCTGATTGATCCTGTGGCTCTGAGAAAGTCAATACGCAAGGTTTGGTGGGGGGTTTGTTTTTGGGTTTTTTTTTTTTTTTTTTTTTTTTTTGGTAATAACTCAGGCTTATTTCAGTGATTGCTGTGCATGCTGAACACTGAAAGCCAGCGATTGTTCTGCACTGACTGTTTGGTTTCTGTGCATTTGTTTCAAATCGTGAGAAAATTGATACAAGCAAGAAAGACAGGAGAAGGAAAGAAAGAAGTCACACAATGGCTGTCTCCAGCAGGACAGCAGCAGGCGAAACAGTTACAGGCCGACACGGGTCGGTCCTTTAAGTAGCAAGAGTTTGCTCACCTCTCAAGGTCTGCAAGGGTATGTGAAGGGAGAGTGAGCAGGAGTTGCTTGCATCCGCTCTAGTAATAAGCCAGCCTCAGCTGACAGCAGTGACCCGGAAAGTACAGTCAGACTCCTGGGGTCGTGCAAACAGGAGCACTCGGAGTTTAAATAATCAGCCACACACACGAAACTGAAAATTCTTCACAATTAAGATGCTGATAACATTCCCTGGAACCCAATCAACATTACTGGTTATTCTTTTCTTTATCTTATTTATTTTGTCTCTTCCTTTAGGAAAAAGAAAATTAGCCATAATGGTACCTTGAATAAACTACATTGAACTGCATTGAAAAGCGTTTCCTAATGAAGAAAGGGGACAGCCAAGGAGATGCATTGTTTTTCCCTCCTGTAAAGTGACCTTCTTAACAGAGTTAAAGGTGCAGAGAAGCCTGAATTTTTTTTTTTCTGCCACAGTTTATTATCGATTCAGGGGGTGCATATGGAAACATGGAGAAATTGAATGGTGCAGAAAACTGGACTTTCAGGCAGGTCTGACCAGCAGGAGCGTGCTATCTTCACCCCATCTCCCTTCACTAAAACACAAAACACACCATTCTGAAAAACCTGCACGCAGACAATTCCTCATTCAAAAATGACTTTTTAAAACCTGTCATCCTCTCACTGCCTGGCTTCCAGCTCCAGAAGGAAAAGAAGTAAAGAAGAAGAAGAAGAAAAAAATTGACAGACAAATGCAGAACTTGACAAAGGGGACAAGGATGCAATGTTTGAATTGGATACTTTGTGGCGGACGACAAGTGTCCTTAGAGACTAACAATTTGTCCTGAGAAACAGCAGAAAATGAGAGAAATGGCAAAAGGGGGGGGGAGGGTTTCTCACACACCCAAAGTGAGCTCGTGGAACGGTGTTGTATTCATGAATCAGGACCAGAATACAAGCTGCCTTTTCTTCAAGCCCTAAAATGAAAACACCGATTGTAGCTATGGCCAGTTGATGTGGAAAGTTTTTTTAGGGCTTTGTTTAGGGCAGTCAAGCCAAACTATAAATGTGACATTAAAAGTTTCAAGTCACATATAAAGGGGAAAAAACACAACAGAAAGACTTCAAGCCAACTGGACGGAAAGTCTAGCTCACATTTGCTCATGGAGCAACACTAAAAACGAAATCGTTGCCTCGGCAGGTAGATGTCTGGCCTCACCAAGGTCGCCCGTCTGGGCAGTTGGTGCTGAGGTATTGGAGGAGACTGGCAACATACTGAAAGGGTCCTGCTTTGTCCACTGTGGTGGGTCTCAGGGTGTAACACTGGACTTTTGGGAGTCCCTGAGATCCTTTCTGGGGAGAGGCTAAGAGGTCAGCACTATTTTGATAAGAATAGTGACACATTTGCTTTTTTCACTTGGTTGACATTTGCACTGATGGTCTAAGAGCACTGGTGGATAAAACTGCTTTTGTCCAGATAAAGAGAGCATCACATACACTTAAAAAAAAAACAAAAAACAAACCCAGTTTCATTCAAGATGAAACAGTAAAACGACTAATTGTACTAATTAAATTTTGTTGCCTCTGTAGGTCTGAGATAGTTCAGGAACAGCACTTGTATGACTAAATCGCAGGCATAACTAGCCACTGCTTTTTTTTGCTCTAGGAATGCTATTTTTACTTGGAAGAATTATTTGGACTGGGGTATTTGGCAGACATTTATTAAGGAATAAATGAAATGAGACTGTCATTTCAAGGAAAACAGCTGACAATATTTGTTGTATTTGTTGCCACTGATAGAAATCTAGCATCCAAGCTAAAATCAGAATTTTGAAAAACTTGTATCTGCCACCATGAACTTGGTAGCTTTCCAATATGTAAAACATTTCAATGACATTGATGTTGATATTAACAAATGTTATTTTTTGATATTGAAAAATGAAATGTGCCAACATTTAGTATATTTGCATAATTCAGTGAACCAATGTTTCCTAAATGACCAAATAAAATGCTACAAAATCATAAGTAAGCAAAAAAAATTTCAAAGTGCCATATGAAAATTTCATTGGATTTTAATGAAACAGAATATGAAAGCTCATTGATGGGGTTTCAGATTACTTGGGACAACTAATCGTTAAGAAGTCACCACTTGTCAAGTTTTGGCATAGTATCAAAGGAGACCTATAAGTGTCTGAAAAAGCCATTAAAATACTTTTCCTTTTCCAAGCACTTATCCATGTGAGGCTGAATTTTATTACTATATTTAAGCCAAAACAATACATTTCAACAGATTAAATGCAGAAGTAGATATAAGAATCCAGCTCTCTTCTATTTAGATAAATATGTATAAAAATGTAAAACAAGAGAGTCCAGGTGGCTCAGTGGTTTAGTGCCACCTCCCTTCCAGGGTGTGATTCTGGAGTTCCAGGATTGAGTCCCACTTTGGGCTCCCTGCATGGAGCCTGCTTCTCCCTCTGCCTGTGTCTCTGCCTCTCTCTGTGTGTCTCTCATGAATAAATAAATAAAATCTTTTTTTTTTAAAAAAAAAAGTAAAACAATGCTGCTTTAGTTACAAATTTTTTTTTGTTTGGAAAATAGAGTTATTTTTCACAAAATATATCATTTAGCATGTAATAGATTTATTATTGTTATTTTCGAAAGAATTTAAAAATATTTTTTAAATCCTCCAGTTTCATTTTTTTAAATTTATTCATTTGCGAGAGAGAGAAAGAGAGTATGAGCAGGGAGATAGGCAGAAGGATAAGCTGACTCCCCATTGAGGGGCTCAATTCCAGGAACCCTAGACCATGAGCCCAAGTCAGATGCTTAACCGACTGAGCCACCCAGGGGCCCACCTTAGTTCTATTTATCAGTAGCTATAATCTACAGAAACAATGGCTCTTGAGAGTCTTCAATAAATTCTATTATTATAAAGGGATCCTGAGCCCCAAAGTTTTGAGAACTGCTGGCCTGGCATGTACCTGGTACCATAGTTAGGCCCAGATTTTCACCTCCAAGTCTGTAGATCTGG